AAGAGTGATAGAGGAAGATGTAGTTTTGGATACAGTGAGTCTTGGCTGGTCTGGTGGAACTAGATAGGAAATAGTTAAAAATAGAAAATAGATTCAAATGATTAGACGTGATCTTAATCCCTTCTAACAGTCATTTATCAAATAACTGTTTTGAGTTGCAAAAAATGCAAAATACTTCTGTCAAAATGTCTGTTTAGCTGACATCCTAGGTTAAGACAAGAGCAGACAAGCTCTCATTTTTTATATTTAATTTTCTACACAATTTTGTCTTTCAGTTCTTAATCCTTGCTTTCCTCTGAATTTTTTATATCTGTCCCATGAGACCTAAACGGCATATGAGCTACACAGCTACACATTTTTCATTATTTTCTGTATCTGTTTTAGGGAGAAGCTGAATTTTTAGTGTTGGGAAACAGATGTCCACTTGCAAATGATGCCCTATTCATGCATGTGTTTGCAGACTATTACGACAAAAGTGGAAAAAAAAAAGTACATAACAAGAGTTTCTGCCAGTGTAACTGTGAGTCCTAACTAGGTAGCATCGGTAGATCTTTGATCGGAGTTAGATGCATACCTCTTCCAGATCACACCATCTAGTCACCCAGGCTTTTAGTATAAGGAAGACACAGCTCTATTAGCAAAGGCTGAACAAACCTGGAAACACTTCAGTTCTGCTGCTCCCCACAAACTTTATGGCTGTGTCTAAACTGTGAGACATAAGAACCGCACTGTTCCCAGGACCAGGTCCTGACAGAGCGCAGGAATAAGAGGTCTCATCTCCCATCCTCTGCGCTGTGCCCCGTTTCCTTTGGAGGAAAATCCAGCATGAAAAGGCAGAGAAAGAGCCATGCTATATCCCAACAAGTCACGCAGAGTAGGGAGAGCTGGGACTGGGAATTGGAACAGCGAATTGAGACTGAGCAACCTGATCTAGTTGAAGATGTCCCTGCTCATTGCAGTGGGGTTGGACTAGATGACTTTAAAAAGTCCCTTTCAACCCAGAGATTCTATGATTCTATGACAGGAAATGGGACTGGGAACTGGGACAGTTTAGGCTCAGCCTGAGTAACACCAAATTGCACCAGCGTATAGTGGCTGGGTTTCCAGAGCTCAATGCTCAGGGGCAGAAAGCGGCAAAGTAGCCAGCTTCTTTTCACCTTGACGGATCTATCATGAGCCAATATGATCATACGCTAGTTATAGTCTGGAGAGCTCATCTTTTGACTTCTGCCCGAATCATTTAGCTAGTTCTGTTGTACAAGTGAGGTAACCAGAACTGTGGCACAAAAACTGTAAGGCCACGGAGGACATTGTTTGCTAAAATGGAGAAGAATGACAGGTGAAACGTCAAAGAGCTAGTTGAGTATTTGTTAGAGGCCTGAAGGGTAAATATTTACTAACACTTCACCCAAGTGTTTTACATTTGCAATTTTAAGTTCAGAAATTGAAAGGGGGAGGAAGGGAAGTTCCTGTTTCAAATCCGTAGCACTGCTCTCGTCATGCACCGCAGCACTGTGTCTGGCTCGCTTTAGGGATTGTTTTCTGAGCCAGTGTTACTAGAGTTCTCCAAGCTCCCCAGAAACGAAGACAAAATTGAGCTTTGCTGCCTCAAGAACAAGGAATGAGACATGGACAGTGTTCATCGTGGGAAGGGGTCTCAGAAGCAGCGGCAAAGCTGGGGTGGGAAGCCAGGGAGAAGCGACGACAGGGCAGTCACTCCTACTCGGGTGACTGCCACTGCAAGTGTGGTGAGGGGGTGACAGCGTCGGTGACCACTGCTGGCAGGAGCTGCCGCTTGCCTGCCGTGGTTAACGGTTTCCCGCTCGACAGACGCCAGCCCGCACGCAAGGCAGGCCGGGGGTCACAAGCGCTCTGTCGTGTCCAGCCGCCTGCTGCCAGAGGACATTGCCTGCTTTGCCTATGTTTGAGGGGTAGCTCCGCCTGCAGAGTGAAACTCCAGGAAAAGCTCCCTGCCGCAGTTCACGTTCAGGTCCTCAGATCGCAAAACAACGAGTGCTGATACGAAGTGGAGGCTGCTGGTTTACAGCTACAGACTAGTTCAAAGAGAAGTTGATTTTAGTGCGCTAAAAGCTAAACAGTGCTAAAGAAAACAAAAAAGACAGTTTATATTCTAAAGGAAAATTCCCTGTGTGAGATGGATTTGTTCCATTATTCTGACTGACTTGGCTGATTCCATGGAGAGACACTGCACACACTACAGTGCGAAAGATTTATTGTAAAACCTTTCATCACAGTATTCTGACTGACTTGGCTGATTCCATGGAGACACACTGCACACACTACAGTGCAAAAGATTTATTGTAAAACCTTTCATCACAACTTTACCCTACCTACGAAAGAGAGGTCCCACATATTAAATGCCAGTCTTTCTCTGACCCTCAAGGAAGTAATATTGATTTCCTTTAAGTTACTGCAGTTCAATAACAACAAGGATATGCAATTACAAAAGTACATAGTGAAATATAAATACAAGGTTTCCATTTGATAGTGTTTTCTCTCCCTACTTCCTGTTGCGGTCATGCTTCAAACA